GGCCCCGCCCCCGGGCACCATGCTGCCCTCGCAGGAGGCCTCCAAGCTCTACCACGAGCACTACATGCGGAACTCGCGGGCCATCGGCGTGCTGTGGGCCATCTTCACCATCTGCTTCGCCATCATCAACGTGGTGGTCTTCATCCAGCCCTACTGGGTGGGCGACAGCGTGAGCACCCCCAAGCCTGGCTACTTCGGCCTCTTCCACTACTGCGTGGGCAGCGGGCTGGCGGGCCGCGAGCTCACCTGCCGGGGCTCCTTCACCGACTTCAGCACCATCCCGTCCAGCGCCTTCAAGGCGGCCGCCTTCTTCGTGCTGCTCTCCATGGTGCTGATCCTCGGCTGCATCACCTGCTTTGCGCTTTTCTTCTTCTGCAACACGGCCACGGTCTACAAGATCTGCGCCTGGATGCAGCTCTTGGCAGGTAGGGCAGTGGTGTGCGTGTGTGGAACCCCTAGGACAAGCACTGGGGACCGGGACTCCTTCCTGCCGGGTCCCCTCCTTGGAAGAGTCGGAGACAGATTCTGCTCCTCTGTGTTAAGACGCTCACCGCCTTGGCTGGCCTTCAGCAAGTCTTTCGGGAGGGGATTCAATGGAGAGAGACACCTTAGGACAGGGGACAGAGCTTAGAATGGGGTACTTGGGTCTCTGTGCTTGGGTATGGGCAGACTGCATTAGCTGATGGGTTAGCACTATGTTAGTGTCTCCAAGGGTCTCTGTTGGCTGTCTTAGGGGAAATGTTTATCAAAATGAGGGGTTATTGTAGGTATGATCGATTTTTGTTATGTTAAAAGAGCATTTGATGGAGATAGCAAGACCTTTAACTGTCTGACATTGTCAACTTCAGTGTTTCACTTTACTTTTCTGAGACCCGGTTTCCTCATCTGTAAAACAGTAGAGAGAATTCCAAGAAGGCAAATGAAAAGCATCTTGTAAACTGTAAAATGCTATGATAAGAGAAGGGGACAGAGGCTGTCTATAGTGTCTATCCTGTGTTTGAGATGTGGATGATTGACAGCACCTGGTAACAGTGGGTCTCTGGAGGGTGGGTCTCCGGGCCCTCCCCCACTTCCCGCCCACACAGGAAGGTTTTGGTACCCTGCCCCAAGGGACTGAGTCCCTGGGACCCTCTGAAATGTTTGGCCAAAGTAGTCATCTTGCTCTGAGAACTGGAGAAGGGCCTTTGGGAATGAGAAACGCTGAGACAGTTTTCCTGAATCCATTAGAGTCCCCCACTTGCACCCACCTTTCAATCAGATTTTGAAGACTCAGCAACCTGGGTTTTTGCCTAATTGCTGGCAGAGGGGAGAGTTGGGCTGAGGAAAGTGGGTCCAGGGGATGAGAGGGATGGGGAAGGAGGGCTGGTGAAGGCTAGGAGAAAGTTTGGAGCCTTCCAAGGATGAAAAAGCAAAGGGAAATTGTGATAATCATGCAGCAGAGATGGTTTTTAAAAACAAGTGCCTCAGGGCATTCAACAAGTGTCCACCATTCCAAAAGAGAACCCCCCCCCCCAGAGGAGGTGTTATAGCTGATGATTCCACTGCTCAAAACATCACAGGGAATTGGTTTTTGGAGTATGGGGTATAATTTCTTGAATATCTTCATTGAGGGGAAGTGTTCATCTTTTAAAGAAGAAACTTAATTTTTGGAAATAGCTGAAAGTCACTCAGGGTCATGTGTAGAGAATGTAACGGGTGATCAAACAGAGAATTTGCACTTGGGATGATAGCCAAGGTGTGAGAACAAAGTTGTGAGGCTTGTTTGCTTCCCCAAGAGGACTTTTACAAGTGCAAGGAAGAATTACTTCCTCATTGGAAGAATTTCTCAAAGTCCTGAAAGAACTACCTTGAAGAAGGCAGTAGTATATTTGGATGTGGACATTCTAATGGGCTTGTTTCAAATCCATCTCACCCTACTCAACTTAGATGTGAATCTTCAGGATCTTTAAAAGGGTAAGAAAGGAGAATGATTGGATGTAGGGGATATTGTTCCATATTTTTTGTGGTACCCAGAGAGGAGATATTATGTATTTTTATTCTACTTTTCTACGAAAGGCAACTGATCCAAAGATCAGCTGGAGCCCCCAATCCATCAACATCAATTTAGAGTCTGCAGATGGATTGCTGACCTCTTGGCCTTCAAATTCTCTGTAATCCATGTGGGTTTAATCTTGAGGATTTGATGAATTATCCAACAACCCCCATGTAATCATAGAATTTCAGGGATCTTAGAGATTAGCTCCTTTAAATTTCACCTTCCCCTCCCTCTGTTTTAAAGAGAGGATACTGAGCAGAGAGAAGAGAAGGGCTTACTACTCAAAGTCACACAGCCAGTGAGGGAGGAAACTAGGTCTAAGGCCTAGTTTTCTTGATTTCTGGTCCAGGGCATTTTCCCCTGTGTTACTGCTCTACCTTTGAGGGCTGATGGGGCCATTGGCTAAGTTGAGAAGTTTATTCCATTTTGTTCAGTGTTTGTTTGTTTGAGTTGGAGTCTCACTCTGTCACCTAGGCTGGAGTGCAGTGGCTCTCTCATGGCCACCGCAGCCTCAACCTGCTGGGCTCAGGTGATCCTTCTGCCTCAGCCTTCCAAGTAGCTGGAACTACAGGCATGCACCACCACATCCAACTAATTTTTTGATTCACTGTAGAGACGAGGTCTCACTAAGTTACCCAGACTGGTCTTGAGCCCCTGGGCTCAGGCAATCCTCTCACCTCTGCCTCCCAAAGTGCTGGGATTATAGGTGTTCAGAGATGTTTGAGTTCTCTGGGTGAGTGACTGATTCACTTTGCTTAATAAAGTGACACCAGGACAGAGGCCAGAGCACTGAACTACGAGTCACAGGACGGGGGTTCTTGGCTCACTCTGCCTGTGACTCACCATGCAGTGCTAAGTAAGTCTTTTTGTTTGAACCTCAATCTTCTAATTTGTATAATGTGGGACTGGGGTCAGATGACTTAAAGTATGTCTCTTAGTCCTGTGGGGCTCCTAGAACAACTCTTTCATCAAGATCATTCCATTCAGATAGTGAGAAATCAGTCATCCTCAGCAGAACTGCAGAGAAGCGAAGGGCTTTGTTTGTGTCAGATAAGAATGAACATGCCTATCATATGATTCTTTTACCTGTGAAATTTTATTCAAGTATGTTAGGGTCTTCTAAGTGCAGAGTCTGGGGCGACTGGGAGAATGAAAACAAAAGATTTTGATTTCTTTCTTTATTCCTCACTTGCTCTGTGGTCATCTCTTCACTTGGCACTGCAAAACTAAGATATATAAGACATCATCCCTGTCCTCAAAGATCTTAGGTCTATAAAATACAATACCTGATCTCAGCAAGCTTACTGTCTAGTTGGGTCACTATATTGGTCAGCAGTCTTTCAGTGGCAAGTGACAGAAACCCAATTCAAACTGGCCTAAATAAATTTGAATGAAACAAAGAGGGTAGCATTTATTGACTCACTTAACTTGAAAGTCAAGAGTATCTGGTTTCAGGCATGGATAGATCCAGATGCTCAAATAAAGCCATGAAAAATCTGTCTCTCTTCATTTCTTGGTTCCTCTATGTTGGCACATTTTATCCACTTCTGTCTTCAAGGTGACAAATATGGCTACTGGTAGCTCAGAATTTACATTGCTTCAGCTTAGCAGTGCCTGTGTGTGGCATGGGGAGGATGATTTCAGCAAAAGTTCCAGGATTGATTCTTTTTTTTTTTTTTTGAGTTGGAGTCTCGCTCTGTCGCCCAGACTGGAG